AAAATGACATTAAAATGAAAACAAATTGAGAATAAAATTAAAGTAAAGAATAAAATATCAGGTAGAGTATTAATTTTGCCTACGAAGCTCTTCATTAAAAAAAAACGAGTATGGCTAGAGTTAATAAGTTACAAAGTTGATTCAAGTCACATTTCTATCTCAGTAAATAGCGTACGGCAGGGGTGGGAAAAGTTTTTGCTGTGAGGGTCGCATTGAAAACTGTTTGACCTTTGAAGGGCCGCACTGATAACATTAAATTAATTAATTTTTTTTCCAGAACTAAAAATGAGTGATCTTCATTGTTGGGAAAGGCTTTTATCTTCTTCACCATTACCATCATCATCATCATTTTGCAGCGTCATCATCGTCATCGTCATCATCACGTCAACTTCAACATCAACATATGCTCAACAACACAACAAGTTGACCAACAATTACTACACTGAAGTTCTAGAAAAGTTACAAGGTTACACACACACACACACACACACACACACACACACACGCACGCATACGTTTATACACCACAAACACACACTTCACACACACACAAACAAACAAACACAACGCTAAACAAGCACTACTCATACACTTACATACAAACATAGAAGAGACAAACACACCAGAAACATAGGTCACCATCCCACACAAAAACAAACAAACTCTGAAGACACTCCACGCACACATACACTCCACAAAATTTCTAAATTCTACACACACAAATACACACAATTTCCACACACAATTTCCACACACACAGAAAGACAAAGAGAGAGAGAAAAAAGACAAACTTTAAAGCTCTCCACACACAGAGAGAGAGAGAGAGAGAGAGAGAGAGAGAGAGAGAGAGAGAGAAAGAGAGAGAAACAAACTTTAAAACTTTCTACACACACACATCCACACACAAAAACACCACAAAATTTACACACACACCCACACACTCCACACAACAGAATGCAGTTACAACACACCACTCGGCATGTCGACCGATGAGATCCATGACTCCCAGTTATCCTCATCTTCGAACTATCCCCACAACTGGGACAAAGGTCCCATTAATATTATTATTAATAATTAATATGATTTCTGTGATAATAGTTATTATAGTCATAATTATTATATAATTATGAGCATAATTATTTCAGGTTGTCATCTCAAATTCGCAAGAATTTATCAGGCGAACGGTTTGGCTTGGTGCGCTAAGTACAAATCATCCTCTGAATGGCTGCAAATTGATTTGGGGGTGCCCGCCAAAGTAATTATTTTTACAATTACGTTTTAATTATGTTATAATTATGTTATAATTATTTCATAATTATGCATAATTACTTATAATTTAAGGTTACGGGGTTATTAGTCCAAGGTCGGGGCGACGGCGAAGAATGGGTGACTTATTTCATGGTGTCTTATAGTTTCGACGCTTACTATTGGACGTACGTAACTGACCAGTACGGTAATCAGAAGGTAGGTTGCCTCTCTCCGATTGGTTGATTTGAAATTACGCTCGTAATTATTGGCTGATGGGAAATGATGTTTATTTCCGGCTTGGTACTAATTCAATGATTTGATATCACACTTAATCTTAATTGGTCGGTTTTAAATTGAACTTCGCATATGATTGGTCATTTTGAAGTTACGCTTGTTGCTATTGGTCGATTTGAAATTATTTTTTGATATCAGAAATTTGAAGGTAACACGGACAGTTACACAGTGAAGCACATCTACCTGGACGACGCGATTGTTGCGCGCTACATAAAGTTCCATACGACCGAGTGGCACAAACACCCGAGTCTCAAGGTCGAGATCATTGGCTGCCAAGGTCAGAGCTTCTTGTTGTGGTTGCTGTGGTTGTTGTGGTTATTGTGGTTGTTGTGGTTTCTGTGGTTGTTGTGGTCATTGTGGTTGTTGTGGTTGTTGTGTTTCTTTGAAGTTTCCGATGTTGGTGATGGCGGTTTTGATGTTGGGGAATTGTTATGAGGACGACGACGAAGATGATTAAGGATATAATGATAAGGTCGGTCTATATGACGACGACGATGATGATGACGATGATGATGTTGACGATGATGATGTTGACGATGATGATGGTGACGATGATGATGATGACGATGATGATGGTGACGATGATGATGTTGACGATGATGATGTTGACGATGATGATGTTGACGATGACAAAGTCTACTATGATAACTCCGATAAAGTTTTAATCCTTGAAAACGAAACGATCGTGACTAATAATAACAACACGCAAACGAAATATTTATAATAATATTTATAATAATAATTATTATTTTTTTAATATATATACATCAATAATTATAATAGTAACAATAACAACAAAAACAAGAATAATAAATTTTTATTTATCTAGCGCTCGATTTTCTGGGTTAAGAGTGCCTGCTCTCCTATTGAACAATAATGCACACATTGTACGAGCCAGAATCTATCCTGATAACTACGTATCTATATATAATTTATTTGAGACTTCATTGAAAATACGTGAGAGACATGGACAGAAAGAAAGAGAAAGAAAAAGAAAGAGAGAGAGAGTGAGTGAGAGAAAGAGGGAGAGAGAGAAAGGAAGAGAGAAAAAGTAAATGTAAACTTGAGCGAGAATTTAACCATTTATCTATCTACTTTCAAAATTGAATTAAAGATATATCACATTATTTGAAAGCAAATGCCAGAAAAAGATAAAAGAAAGAAAGAGAGAGAGAGAGAGAGAGAGAGAGGGAGAGAGAGAGAAAAATAATCAGACAGAAAAGAGAAAGGTTAAGAAATTTAAAGAAGAAATAAATTTAGAAAGAGACCCCAAAAAACAGAAATTCAATAGAAGTGACGAAACGCACGCTGAAAACATTTTCAAATTTAAAATGCTTAGAAGAGAAGAAGAAAGACAGAGATAGAGAAAAAGAAGAGAGAGAGAAAGAAAGAAGGAAGAGAGAGAGAGAGAGAGAGAGAGGAATATAAAGTTTTGTTTGTCGAAGTCTTATTCTGTTTGCACACATACTCGAGAAACGTTGACGGTAATAAAATTAATTTAATGTAGATGGGGCAGAGCACCACTACTACTACTACTATTATTACTGTGTGTGTGTGCGTGCGTGTGTGTGTGTGTGTGTGTGTGTGTTTGATCGTTTGCTTTTTTATCATTAATGCTAGCTTTTATAGGTTCATATATACAAACACATACATATATATTCAAAAGACGCGCGCATGCGCGCACACGCACACACACACATACAAACGCACATACACACACGTACACACACGTACAGTTTGCAAGAACATCCTGTCCCTACAACCAAACGCCAAGGTGACGTCATCATCGACAAAGATGGAGCAAGATGGTACGTGCGGGAGTGACGATGCCTACATCGTTTCCAACGGTGCATGGTGCGCTAGAAACAACGATGGTTTGTTTGTTTGTATGTTTGTTTGTATGTATGTTTGTATGTTTGTTTGTATGTATGTTTGTATGTTTGTTTGTATGTTTGTTTGTATGTTTGTTTGTATGTATGTTTGTATGTTTGTTTGTATGTTTGTTTGTATGTATGTTTGTATGTTTGTTTGTATGTTTGTTTGTATGTTTGTTTGTATGTTTGTTTGTATGTTTGTTTGTATGTTTTGTATGTTTGTTTGTATGTTTTTATATGATTATTTGTATGTTTTGTATGTTTGTGTGTATGTTTGTGTGTATGCTTATGTGTATGTTAATTTGTATATTTTTGTATGTCTTTGTATGATAGAAAACCGAAAAGAACATAAAACAAAGTTAATGAATCTCTCTCCAAAAAAAATTCCCAGACACTCAATGGCTTCAATTTGACGTCGGTCCACCAACTCTGATCACAGGGCTCATAACGAAGGGCCGCTCTGAGGGCAAGAAGAGGGCATGGGTCACGAATTTTAAAATTTCATTCAGTAACGATAGTAACGGTTGGCATTATTATTCTGACTCTGGTGGCAATGGGGGTGAAGCTGGAAGTGGAGTTGTTAAGGTTGGTGACGGGATGGAATCTGGTTTTATATGTTGTTTGTTCATGGTGATAAATTTTAATTTAAAAGAAAGAAAATATTTAGTGAGAATTTTTTTAGCTAAAAAGTTGAAATAATTTTAAGCTGATTTATAGTCTGTGGAACAATCTTTTAACTAAACAACCAACAGTCAATCAATCAACCGAACCACCAATCAAACAACCAATCAAACAACCAATCAAACAACCAATCAAACATCTAGTCAACCAGCCAACCAACCAATCAAACGGCAGATCTTCCAGGGCAACAACAACGCCAACGACACATCCTACAACTATCTTAACAAGCCTTTCACGGCCCGGTTCATAAGATTTCACCCAATTTCCTGGGTCAAGCAGGTCGCAATGAGAGCTGCTGTGATTGGCTGCCCTTTTGATGGTAATACTAATGTATTTTTTGTCTTTTTTTGGTATGGTGTAATGTATATTTTGTATTTTTGGTGTATCTATTGTATATTTTTTACCAATGTTTTTTAAATTTTGTGTATTTTTTGCTTAATCTTTCTAAATGACGTCATCTTCATCATCATCATCAGCATTTTCATGACCATCATCGTCATCATCATCGTCATCATCATCGTCATCGTCGTCGTCATCATCATCATCATCGTCGTCATCATCATCATCATCGTCGTCATCATCTTCATCATCATCGATTTAACAATGGTGGCAGTTACGCCCGTCCACCGTTGGCAATTTTTGGTCTGGCATACCTTTAGATTTAAACGTCTATTTATATCATATTTTTATTTTTTTTATTCATCATTATTATTATTATTATTTTTTTTTGTTTTTTTGTTGTTGTTGCTGTGGTCGCTGTTGTTCTTCTCACTATTGGTTGGAAGTTATTTTAAGGGGTTCGCTTCAAGCGAAAGATTTAAATACATCAGAAAATTCTAACTTAGTGACGTAATTAATAATAATAATAATAATAATAATAAAAAGAAAAGAAAAGATAATGATGTATTATTATTATTATTTATTGTATTTATTATTACTATTATTCGTGGAATTTTAAAAAAATTTCAACTCTACCAGGTATAATGAAATATTTTATCTTGATAAGATAATGCTTATAAAGAAGACAATGACGATGGCGATGATGATGATGTATATATATATTTATAAAAATAATTATGTATGTATGTATGTGTGTTTGTTTCTTTGTATGTGTGAATGTATGTGTGTATGTATGTATGTTTGTTTGTAGATATGTATATATGTATGTTTGTTTGTTTGTAGATATGTATGTATGTATGTATGATGTATGTTTGTATGTTTGTTTGTTTGTATATAAGAATTCAAATTTGTTGCAATTTGCTAAGACAGGCAATAAATCATATCATAACCTTTTATTGTTAACATTAAAAGATTTCGTCACGATATAAGTATGTATGTCTGTCTGTCTGTATGTATGTCATTCATTCATTCATTTTATTCATTCATTCAATCATTCATACTTTCTTTCTTTCTATCTTTCATTCATTCAATCATTCATCTATTCATCCATTTATTCATTCTTCTGTTTATTTTTCTTCTTTTGAGTTGTTGTTGTTGTTGTTGACGAGGACGATGTTGTTGTTGTTTTAAATATGATAACTTTATGTGATGTAACTCCATGCCATTTCTGTTTAACTTGCTAAAATGAATAAATTTGAATAGATTATGAGTGTATTAATATGTATTAATGTATTATGAATGTAATTATAAATGAATAGATTATGTATGTATGTACTATGTATGTATGTGTTTGTGTGTGTGTGTGCCTGCGTGTGTGTGTGTATGTGTACGTGTGTGTTTGATTTAATTACGGTTTAATTTTTAACAATGACTCGCCTAATGTTATAATAATTGAATCTGCGTCTGCATTGCTTTGTTATTATAGTTATTAATATTATTTTATTATTAATATTATTATTATTAGTGTTATTATTATTATATTCTCACATCCCAGGCATATGCTCCCGTGGTTTCATGCAGGTTAACAACCATGCGTCGTGTGGTTAGCCATTTTATTGTCCTTTGGGAATTAAATTCAGTTGTGAATTATTTTTTTGATTTATTTTATAGTTTACTGAATTATCGTTTAAATGTTTCATTCATCGTCCAACCAATCAAACAACTCGAGACATAATTCCAACCAATCACAACAACCCAAAACATTGAGACATAATTCCAACCAACCCAACACAACCCAAAACATAAATCCAATCAATCAAAATCACCCGAAACATAAATCCAACCAATCACAATAACCCGAAACATAAACCCAACCAATCACTAAAACCCGAAACATAAATCTAACCAATCACAATAACCCAAAACATGAATCCAACCAATCAAAACTCACCCAGTCGAGAACTTGGCCTATCACAAAGAATCCTTTGTAAGCAACGTACGTAAGCATTCCAAGAGACATGCGCAGAGTCACTGGACTCACGGCCAGGCTGCCAAAGCAGTCGACGGAGAAATTTCTAAAAGTTGCATGATTCTGGATAATTCCCGGGTGGAAAAACCCATCCTTATGGTGGATTTGGGAAAGAGAAAAAGCATCTCCGGTATCGTCATTGTCACCTGGTCGAGTGGAGGTTGATGTGGTTTTGATTTATTTTTTTTAAATATCACTGCTTAAACTTTTATAAAATTCAGCTATTAAAAAATGTTTTTTTATTGAATATATCATCTAATAGTTAAATAAACACACTTTTCCGATTAACATATTTTAATAATTGTAAAAGAAAGTACAATTTTATTCACAATGGCACTGACCAATCAGACTTCTCTACCCAAACCGACCCCCGCCAGTCATTCGGTGGTGACCAGGTAAGAAAATACCTGCAAAATCTCGACAAAATTTCCGTCTACGTCCAGAAGAAACCTCAAAAACACCAAACCATGGCGAAAGAGAACTTCTGTGGCCAACTTACTCGCTTCAACAACGCCCTCATGCGGCCGAGACTTCATTTTCAGTGTGGCAACCCCCTAGTGGGTAGGTACGTTTTCGTGGAGGCTGAAGGGGTGGTCGAGAAAGACAGAAGAGTGTTCGGGGCCGTCCTTTGCGAAGTTATGGTCTACGAGTGAATGAATGAATGAATGGATGAATGTGTGGGTGGATGGATGGATTCTTGAAGTGGATAAGGTGGTTAAATTAAAGAGATGTCGATAGATGAGGGTTAGGGGGGGTAAGGGTTAGAATTAGAAATATGATGTTTCTAAGTCGAAAGTATGAATTTAGGAGTGGGATAAGAAATGGATATATCCAGAATAGTGGAAAGAAAAAATTCAGGATATCCAAAAATAGATTGACATACTTATTGGGAGTTGGTGAATTTATATGTAATATTTTCTGTCGGGAAACATAGCGATTAAACTGACAAGATGATAATATATTAGCAATCATAATAGGGTATATGTCTATATACGTATTTTTACGTGTGTGTGTACGTCTGCGTGCGTGTGTGTACGTGTGTGTGCGTGTGTGTACGTATTTTTTGGTGAGAATTTCTACCTTCATTACGATGTATCATCTTTGTTTAATTAATTTATATCTCATCGCATGGCATAACAAAATAATAATAATTATTATAATAATAGTAATGATGATATCGTATCATCTGTATCAGTATCATTATTACATCATATCATAGCGACGCACAAAGAATACGAATGTTAATATTTCTCTCTATAACGTAAAAAACTATATATATATATATACATATATGTTTACACATGCATATGTGTTTGTTTGTATGTATTTTGTGTGTTTGTATGTATGTGTGTTTAAACTTGTTAGATTTACACTAATATTAGCTGTTGTATATGTATCTATAATGTCTATAATGTTATACAATTATATATATATATATATATATATATACGCTAATTAAATATATATACATATATATATATGATTGACATTTCTATCTTTTTCGATTGACTTTTTAAAGACTAATAAATAAACAAATTCATTTGTTTCTTATTGCTCTTCAGTATTTTTTATTATTATTATTAACATAAATAATAACAATAATAATAATTATTATTAGTATTGTTATTATTAACATTATTATTTTTCATTATTATTACTAACATAAATAATAACAATAATAATTATTATTATTATTATTGTTGAATGGATAAACCCGAAAAGTTGAATTTTATTTGGCGTTTTGACAGGAAAAATACCAACAGCAATAACCATGCATGTATAAAATAAGCTGGATATAAAATAAACACATCTTACTGGAATGAATGAATGATTGGATGAATGAATGAATGAGTGAATGAATGAGTGAATGAATAAAATAAATGACATCAGCGAGTAAACGAATAAATGTACCTTCGAAAAAAATTTATTCACAGAGAATAAAAAATGAACGAACGAAAAAAGTTATGAATGAATGAATGCATGCATGAATGAATGAATGAAGGAATGCATGAATGAATGAATGAATAAATGAATGAATGAAAGAATGAATGAATCGATCAATTAATTAAATGACAGCTCATTCAAATTAAAATTTCGTCGGATGAAAGCTAGACATTAATGTGTATATAGATGCATGTCTCTAAATTAATTCAACATACATTCAAGTAAGAAAAGATTTTTTGTTAACAATCTCACAGAAAGATTGAAATGAGTGACCAATCGTCTTTTTAATCTTACATCCTTTCATTCATTTAGCCATCTATTCATTCATCAACTCATTAACTTATCCATTACCTCATTCATTCATTCACCAATCCATTCGTTCATCCATCCATCCATCCATTTATTTCTTCTTTCGATTTCTTCTCCCGCCACCGCCACTACTACTTCCGGTGACGCCATGTGGTTCCTCCGTCTGGAGCGATATTTGGCCCTGAGCTATTTCCTCCTGTGAGATGTCTTTGGTCTCTTTCAGTCTATCTTTGGCTTCCAGGTAGAACATAATATCACGCAGTTGGTCTTGCAACTCTTTGATTTCCTGTTTTGTTGGTGGATGGACGGATGGATGGACGAATAAATGAATGAATGGATGAATGAATAGATGAATGAATGGATAAATGAATGAATAGATGAATGAATGGATGAATGAATAAATGAATGAATGGATAAATAAATAGATGGATGAATAAATTGAAGGATGACTTTATTGAAACAATAGCAAAACGAAATGTAGGCATAAGAACAACATCATTACATACAAAAACCAAAGAACTAACATTTTCTTTTTCCAGTAATTTACTTTCTAGGTTCGTAACTTTGGCTTGCCACACTAGCTGATTCTCCCTCAGACATTTGTTCATCTCTCGTTCCTCAGATAGTTCGGCTTGGAGTTTCGTCGTCTTCGTATTCAACTTTGAACGAACGAATGAATGAATGAATGAATGAAAGAATAAAAGAATGAAAGAATGAGTGGATAAATTATTGAACAGATGAACGAATGAGTAAAAAAAAGAATAACAATTGTTGACCTCTAAGCAGGCAGCATAAAACAACCGATCACTGCAAAAATCTCAACCAATCAACCAGTCAGTTAACCAGTTAGTCAACCATTCAGTCAATTAGTCATTCGACCAACTAATCATCAACCAGCCAACCAACTAACCAACCAACCAGCAAATCATCAACCAGCCTACCAACCAGCCAGCCAACCAACCAACCAACCAGAGCGCATTTTTTTTCAAGAGCCATCTTATCTTTGTTGAAGTTGGCGATGATGTTGTTCTTTTCAGTGCACTCCATTTTCACTTTCTCACATTGTATTTCCGCCTCCTCCAGCTGGCAATTTGCATCATTTATGTTAATGAGTGGGCGCATATTCTATGTTAATGAGCGGGACAGATTTTACGTCAAAGAGGTGATCACATTCAAGGTTAATGCGCTGCTGGCATTGTTACATAATTTTGGTAAGCAACATCAAAACTATCATCATCACCCTCCTAATCGCATTCATCCTCACAATCATCATCATCACAATCATCCTCACAATCATCATCATCAAGAGGACGAACTAACCTCCTTACACTTCTGATCTTCCAGGTACATCATCTTCTTCTCAAAGTATTCCCTCTGAGATTCCAACTGGCTGGTCAGCAGGTAGGCATACTGACAAAGAATAAAACCAACAGATACAACGAAACATCAAATACAAACAACAGATACAACGAAACATCAAATACAACCAACAGATACAACGAAACATCAAATACAACCAACAGATACAACGAAACATCAAATACAACCAACAGATACAACGAAACATCAAATACAACCAACAGATACAACGAAACATCAAATACAACCAACAGATACAACGAAACATCAAATACAACCAACAGATACAACGAAACATCAAATACAACCAACAGATACAAACTCAAAACACACTACAAAGCAGGCAGGTGCAATGGTTGAAGGAGCCTAACTACTGTTGTAGTTGCCTACAACATACAAAAATGCAGAATGTTTACGACGCGTTGATACAAAGCAGCATACATACATATATGCCAGAACACAACACCAAACAATACAAAAAAGTACCTCGAGGGATAGAGATTCAATTTTTTCTTCCTGGTGCAGTAAGGTACTGGGGTCGATGACCTCATTGCCCCTGTTGTCGACCTCCACCAACTTGCCGTCCATCTTGTTTAGGACCAGTCGGTGTACGTAGTTCTCCCCAACGTAGTCCCAGACTCTGTTGCTGCCTTTCGTGGTCGGTGACCATGGCAGCAGTCGTCAGTGGTGGTGGTGATTAATAAGGTGTATGTGTGTCTATGTCTATGTGTGTGTGCGTGTGTGTGTGAACATATGCGCGTATGTGACCATCACGTATATCAATCCTATTCCTCTTCAAACATCGCCAGCAACAAAGACACATCTTAAAATACAAAAAATACACACAGAAATACGCGCGAATACAAACAAAAAGTAAACACGACACAAAAAGTAAAACCTAATTGCATGGCGTATGTGTGGGCGGTCTCCTTGAAGTGGCCATAAGCGTGTCCATTGGCGTACCTACCGCACCCCACTTCGCCACATATCAAACAGATCCACAAATCCTATTTCGACGAATTTCATTATTTCATATACCATTTCGTAAGGTATTACATACAGGGCATTATTTTACGCACTCCCTCCTCCATATTAAAAGGTCAAAGGTGACGCAGGTCAAATTTTG